CTTTCCCTATCATCGGTGAGCCCAACGAATTGCCCTTCCCTCTCCGATACCTCTCGTCGAATGGCTTGAATTCGTGTTTGGGACTCCTATGACTGTACTTCCTACACAAATTTTGTAAGTGATAATATATATATATATATATATTCTTTTTAATGAGTTAATAATTATGAATTTGTACTTATTCTAATTCTAAAAATTAAAATTTAACTTAATTAATTAAATAAGACAGTAATCGATGCATGTTTTAAATTCTAGTAGAAATATGTAGGATTTTTTTGAAACTCGTCCCATTTTAAAAATTAATTTTTTAAACATGATGCTACATAATATATGTTAAATTTATAAACTTAAATTTTTTTTAGATTTTTAATTGTGATACCTTTAATATGTAATAATGAAAAATAACTATTTTATATTAATAATTAAGTATTAAAATAAGTCTATATATGATCTCTTGTGTCCTATTTTTTTCAATTATTTCATGTCCCTGTATTGTGTTGTATTCACGTCCCGGGCGTGTCCGTGTCTATGCTTCATAGCTTTTTCCAAGTACCACCCATTAAGTGTAGAGAGAGAGAGAGAGAGAGAGAGAGAGAGAGAGAGATGGGTGTTAGAAGATAGGAGTATACAAGCATTTGACTATAATTACATCCATGCAAGCATTATTAATGTTTTTATATACATGAGTCATTTACATACATACCATTTTAACTTCAAAAAGTACAGTTGCATGCAATCATGGCATCATAAACATTGCTATGTACAAATCTAGAATCCTCTTTATCAACTTCTCAAATTCTAACTCAAATATCAGATTTCAAGGTAAAACCTCAACCCATATTTTTCATTTTTTTTATCAAATTCTCGCAATTTGATAGTGGCATGCGTGCATACATCGGTTCAGTAGATCAAAAATAGCATATGGGTGCTAGATTTTGTAAATAGCAATGTTTCGGGAGATGTGCATGTAATTATCCCTGAAAGGGAAGGTGGTATGTATATAAATTAAAATTTAGATATTAGATAAGTAGATACATAGAACTGAATGGTATGTATGTAAAAAAGCTCACACATATGTATATTACCAGTTTCTTCATCTCTGCTGCTCCCACCTGAGATCCTCCGAGAACTCGAGCATGGCACTCCTTGGATCACCATTAGAAACAGCCAAATAATAAGCCGCCGTAGCATCGTCAACACGCAGGCTTCGCTTCACTGAATCAACAAGTTTCTTCATTCCCCTTCTACGATCAGTGAATCCAGCGCCGGGGAGAGCAGATTTTCCATCAGGGTTTTCTTCCAGATAGAGAACTGCAACTTCTCTGTTTGCATGATCATCAAATTCGATGAAGCAGGTGCTTTCATGGAGAAGTTGTGGATCGCTGATGGGTATCAGAAGCCTCTCTCTTGAATATATTCCATGCTCGCTCATCATGTTGTTCAGCCGTTTTATCTCATTCACCTGTCATGTACAAGCCTTGGAATGTTTAACATGGAAATGGAATCAAATCTTTATGTATTTACATATCTGACAGTTTAATATTTACATATATGCCAGCTTATTCATGTCTGAAAATGTGTATTTCATCTTGTTCTTTTTTACAAGTTAAAAAAGTTCAATTTTTGATGTGATATGAAAGATTTGGGAGGTATAAATTTAAAGAACAAAGTCCAACACATAAAAATGAGGTGGTATATATATGTAAATGGCCATATTCCTGAATAAATAGTTTTTATTTCAATATAAGTGCGTCTTCTTCACCCCATAGTTTGTTTATCAATGGAGAAAATGTCATAATGATCCGATAACATTTTGTAGGAAGCCATTTGTAAGAGCGTCAAATTAGCTTACATACATACACATATCATAAAATTCTTATATATTTATACATCTAACAATTAAATATTTAGATTTATTTAATATAACACTCTAATGTCTAAATCACATCAAACCAAATACATGAAAAGATGTATTCCACTTTAAAAAAGAAGATATTGGTGTTATTTTTTATGTGATCTAGGATTCAGGAATTAGTGTTATTCAAGCAAATATAAAAATTTAGGTGATAGATGCAAAAATATAAAAAAAATTATGAGGCATGCATGTAAATCTCCCATTTATTAAATTTCACATGCCAGATCAATCTACTAATACATTGATAAAACTAAGGAGAAATGAAATGCCAAAAGGATATTCAATGAAAATGCCCTTTCCATGTTACTCGTTTGACTGAAGCTTCTCAAATACATTTTAAATAATTCAACATCAACTTTTCTTTTCATGAAAATTTTAAACTAACAACTTTGAATGCAATGTGGCTATTAATCACTGAAGAGACATGCACGACAAAACTTTAGAAGCCAAAGCCTCCAGGTTGTATGTTGGTTTTGCACTGCAAAAACAGCCTTTTATACTTCTGACCATAAAAACTAACAATTTATTAAATGAACCTTTTATTTTGCCCACTGTACTAACCCAATACTAGTAGACAGAATATATTAATTTAACATAGGTAAATTTGCATACATACCACACAATTCTTATGTATTTACATATCTTACACCCAAAGTTTGATATTTACACTTATAACACCTCGGGGTTATAAAACTATTCAGGAAAATGTGTATTTCACTTTTAAAAAAGCAGTGATTATGGTATTTTTTTATGTGATATTAAAGATTTGAGTGGCATACATGTAAATAGATATGCAAATACATAAGAATTGTGAGGTATGTTTGTAAAGACCATTTACTATAGCGTAGGTGAAGATAAAGTTCGAAACCATGACAACTTTCAAAGGCTTCATGAACTGGACTAATTGACACCTGAGTTAATGCTCACTGATTGTTATACTACAAAAACTTCCGTCCATTTATTTTCCTTACTAAATAACAATGCCAAACTTAGGAACTCAGCAATGGGTACTATGTCTCCTTTACAAAGTCCTTCATAAAAAATAGTAACACCATGGAACATTAGAAGAACCAAGATCTCATCTTTGATCTTCTATTAAACATGAAAAATAATAAATTTAGCATTAATGGAAATATTAGCACAAATCAATGGCAGCGCATTTCAAATTTAACTAAAAACTAAGATGAGGGAGGCAAGGCCATCTTTTTTGAATTATCTACTGAGTAATTAGAGTAATGCTTCACTCAAATAAAATTACATGTAAAGGGATAATTTTTATTATATCTAATGATGATGTGGATATAGAGTCCAATCTCTGTGGTTAGGCCATAGAAAAATACTTACGTATGTTGTGCGGACGCAGCTGCGATGCACTGATCATGAGAACAAAAAAAACCATCGCCATACGCAAGTTTTTTTGTAGGACTTATAAGTCATGGGCATAAGAATCGAGAAAGCATCATATGTTTTATTTTTCACCAAGCACCTTGAAATTCTTGATTTTATTTCCAATCAATGTGTTACGCATTAGAGAAAGAGCCATCTCAAGTATGAATATGTTTGGAGGATTATCAAATAGCAAGCTTGGTGAAGGGATTGTAGCTCCCAATCCTAGAAGCCATGGCTCAACTAATGACATGAATGTGCGAGCAGCATGTAAAACCCTAAACAAAAGTGCTTTAATAATTGCTGCTTTCCATCTTCCACTTATAACTTAGCAAACACCTCACCTCATCAACTCTACTTCTTAAACATCAACTAAACACACCCAACCTATGTCATTTAGTTGGCCAAGAAGCCCATATTTGATGTTATAAAAGAGCTTAATCATGGAAGGGTTGCAGAAGGCGAAAGAATTAGTGATTTTCTTATTTGGATGAGTAATTTATCAGTACAATGTGTCAGCGAGCCAATTTGGTTGAGATATCCGGAATTGGTATGGGTGACAAAAGTTACAGTAATTTTGCTTGAGTGTGCTCCCCTTATCCAATATACTTCTTCTTTCCTACTAATAAAATGTTTCTTCATCTTCACTTCCAACTCTAATTCAAAATTTTCTTGAAGCTATATGAATTTCATAAGATCAACATTTTAACAATCAATCCATCAAAACCGATGCAATTTGCCTTATCAAAATCCAACCCTAGAATGCACCCTTTCAAATTTCTCCCCCATTTCCTCACCCCCAATTCACTGTAATCAATTCACGCGGCTCAAAATCCATACAATCCAGACTGCAATTACGAAGCAAGAATTTGAGAATGAGTAGCAAAAAACGACACCTGGACGGAATGCTTAACGGCAAGGCCAGCTACGGTGTCTCCCCTGACAAGGCGGTGTGATACGGCAAAGCGATCGATGCCTGTGTGTCGCCAGAATCCAGCAGTAGACGGCGATCCTAGCACTCGCCGTACCTTCCATGGTTTGCTGAAAGCTCGCTCGACAAGCTCCCGATCCGAAGCTAACTCCTTCCACAGCTTGCAGACGCACGCGGCCCGCGCTAGATCCGCCGGTGATAACAGCTCGAAGATCGTGCAAAGGAGATCGCTCGTTCCGAGAGCCATGAAGTTGGAGTTCGTCGTAGAGAGCAGCACGGCGGCCGGCCGAAACTAGGGTTTCGGCGAGGAGATGACGGCCGCGCTTGTCGGCTTCTATGGAGTCGATAATCTGCAAAGAGATGGGGTTTGGATCTACTGGTGCTGCGGGCCTCTTATCCTTATTAAAATGATGGTAATCCTAAAAAAATTGTATGAAGAAATATAAAATTATGAAAAATACTCTGATCCATATTATTCGATGTGTTATTGAGGTAGTATTGATATTATTTACATGCAATACCTTTATTATAGAAAACTTAATTAGGGTTCGTTTTGGGCACCCTAATTATGACTAATTATAGTAATGAAAATAGGAACGTGCATAAATCAAACCTTTATTATGACTAATTTTGACTCTACTAATAAACTTAACTCTACTACTACTCATATGTTATTAAAAGATATTGCAGAAAACTGAATTAGGGTTCGTTCTAGGCTCCATAGTTTAGTCTGTATAGGTGAACTATGTTTAGATAGTCTTTTCAAAAAGTGTCGTTGAAATCTACATTTTCCCATCACTCTTGCCTACGTGCGGTGACAACTTTCTAGTAACGGTCTAGCTTTAAAAAAATTTTTAATAACCACTACAACTTTTTAAATATCAGATTATTATTCATTATATTCACAATTATTCTTAATAAACTGCAACTACCCTAATCAGACCTTATTAAGAATTTAAAAAATGAATCATGATCAACCATAAATTAAAATCCTATAGATTAAACAAAATAGATTGCAAACACCTTTATTTAAAAAAAATAAAAAAAAATTAATTTAATTATAAAATGTATTATAAGCTAGTTGAAATCTTCATGGGTTTGTAAGTGATTGAATTTGCATTCTAGTACTTATCAAAATGTATTATTATTACGATTTTCATAATTGATTGCTATATATATATATATATATATATATATAAA